CCCTCTCTCAAAAATAAATAAAACATAAAAAAAAAAATTAAAAAGGAGGCCCAGAAAGCCTCACTGCCCTGCAGGACATGCCGTGGCTGATAAACAACCGAGTCTGGGTCCAAGTGAGTGGTTCTGGCCCCGGTGCCGTCCTAGGATCCGTTGCAGCGTTCCAGCCTGGAAGCAGAGGTGGAAAACGGCTGGAGGCGACAGCACTGAACACTCTCGAGTGTTGGCCTGGCATTCCTTCGGGTTCCTCGTTGGTGGAGGTTAGTGCCTATCACACACCTAGACCAGATAAAGCCTACAGACGGTGCTGACGGGGAAGATGGACTTTGGTGTGGACACCAGTGACTATCAGGCTATTTCTGGGACAGGCTAATGTAATTATCCGGATAGTGCAGGCAAAGGGGAAGCCGGCTTTCTCTCGAATCAGCGCTGCAGTGGTTACATCGGTTCCATATTGTTTTAAACCTGGCAGGTGTCTGTCTGAAATGAACGGACTTGCCCCCCTTGGAGGCAGCCCCTCCAGGATGCTGCGAGCTGCCACGGACATTCCTCCCCCAGTGACGCCAGAAACCAGAGGAACTCTGATCTCCCCGCCTTCGGCCCTTTGAACACTAGACGGTTGAGGAGCCTGTGTTTCCCGTATGCGCATTCAGTCTCCTGTGCAGCGAAAATCCTCTTGAGGCACATCTTCAGATGAGGAAATCCGCTCATGGGGCTGAAGGGACTTGCTCAAGGTCACTGATGGCAGCAGGGCGAGCCCAAGTCCTTGTGGCCTCGGCAACAGCCTCCTCCCACCCCCACTCCCTGCCCTACTTGTTTCTCCTCTTCCCCAATCCTAGATCTTCCTTCCAGAATGTGGCCTGCGTGGGTAGTGGAGAAGCTAATTCTAATTCAACCTCTCCTCCTTTGCCCCCTCCCCACTGCGTGTGTCCTCACCCACCCGGGCTGGTATCTGACCTTTCCAGGTCTCAGCATGTAGGTAACTCAGGGCCGAGGGGCTCCCCTCTCTGCAGCTGACCATGTGCTCACTCGCACAGCCCCACGGAGGGGACACGTTGAGTCCGGCCTGTCCAGCAGCAGCCTGGGCTGGAGGGGAGGTTACCTTCCCTTAAATATCCGAGCTCGTACATTCCCCAGATATTCTCTGTGTGTCGAGACGATGCCAGACCTGTAGTTGCAAAGACGAACCCCAAAGCTCTGTCCCTGAGAAGCCCTCAGGGGGAGGGGGACAGAGAAGCACTGATGACTGTAGGGCCCACCCGGTGGGGGGCGTCCTGGGGCCCTCAGTCTGTGCTCCTGCTACAGGCCCGCACTGACCGAGAGGGTGAAAGGCAGAGAGCTCGCATGGAGGCTGGCGGGAGAGCGATGCTCCCCTACGACGGCTGGAGCAG